TGCGAAAGTGTTAGTCTGTTCAACAGAATATAAAGACATGGAGTGCATGGAGGACTGGGCGGAACGGGAAGAGGTGAGCTGTAAAAGGGGTCTGTGGTAGTGAAAACAGTGGAACCCAATGGGTACTCTGCAGATCTTCTGTACCTCCCCCCACCCGCTACCAATAACACTTCACTGAAGGCTGGCAGCAGAAACTCAGTCGACTACTCGCAGTGGTCACAGCACCGGTAGACAAGCAGAAAAGAGCAGCCACGTTACGCGTGCGTGCCCGATAAATGCTTTTTGACACATTATCTAGTAGACACAAATTTGCTCAATTGAAATCCAGAGCACAGGGACCATATCCATCTCTGCACTGAATTACTCCTGAGCAGGGAAGATTTAGAGGAATGGCCTTCCAGCGGAAGCCAGGTCTCACCAGCCAGTGAAGACACACTCTTGAAGATAGCCCAGAGCTTTCCTTCTTACCCACCCCAATCCTTCTTCTCCAAACCCAGTCCCTGACCAGTCAGTCTCATGGAGTCAGCTGTGAGTAACCTGGCATGCTTCCCCAATTCCTGTGCCCCAGAATGACAGCCTGCTCATGTCCCTCTGCAGAACTGGGAAAAATGTCACAAACGGAGGGACGGACAGACACCAGTGGGCTGTGCTCATTTGACTCTTGTCTTGGCAGCCTGTGAGCAGCCACTCCTGCACATGGGACCTTGTGAGCCTTTCATAAAAGATGGGGCCACGTGGGCAGTGAGAGCAGGATGACACGAATGACCTGCCACCGAGGGGGAAGAAGACAGGAAAACTCCAGGGCTTTCCACTAGTGCTTCGGGAGCACCTGCAGTGAACTGTTTAATGTCCACAGATTCCTCCTTTCCCGGTCCCTTCACCTCTTTACAGTCTGACTTTGCTGGGCCTCCCATCTCTAGGTAGAGACTCTTCCTCCACCCCCATCCATCTGGGCTGGCCTTATGGTTTGCCTGGACCGAGAAAGTGCAGCCATAGGGGTGATGAACAAGTTTTGGAGCCTGTGCCCCAAGATGCCTTGCAGCTTGGGCCTCTGCCCTCTTGGAAGGCTGCTCTAAGTCTGTGGCAGGGAAAACAACCCATGAGAAAGACGTCTTGAGAACGTGAGAGCCCGGCTCTCCGGGCTGTCCCATCTCCTCCACCCCCAGCTGACTGGTCAGCTGAACACGACTCATGAGAGATGCAACAAAGATTGACCACCAAGAAAACCACAGGTCAGCCTGCAGCATCCTGAGGGTCATAAATTCTTGTTGTTTTGAGGTTTAGGGTGGGTTGTTATGTGGCAGCAGATAATGGGAAAAGGTCAGTAAATGTAGCTGACTCTTCCTTTATTTTTTTAAGATTTTCAGAAAATCTAAGGTCAGAATTAGAAGACCTAAAGAGGCCATTCTATGACTTTTGGCTTCAACGGTTTACGAGGTCAACTGGAAAGTCACCAAACTGTATGCCACATTCTCAACCTTGGAGTTTCACCTGACTTTAATTAAAAAACAAAAACAAAAACAAAAACAAAACTTTACCCATTTTTATATGAAAAGAAATACCAAGAAGCTAAATTTAAATATTATTCTAATGCAACTTAACACTGAATCATAAATTTAATGAGGGTTAAATAACCTTTAGAATTTTTTCCTGGGAAACCGACAGCATTTGCAAAAATAGGCGTAGAATTTTTTATTTCCCTGAAAGTTCTCAACAAAGCAAAAGAGAACAACTCAGTGATCAAATTACCCCCAAAGTCTTAATTAAAGTCAGATGCTAAGGGAGAGTTCAAGTTCATAAACATATTCTTCTGTTCTGACTCACATGCTTCATAACAGGGCTCATTAACTTTAATTTACATGTTTATATGCATGTATAACCCCTATGCCACATTAAACAAATACATCTCAACCTAAATATAGCAGGCAATCAGCCTAGTTCCACAGAGAATATTGAATAGTATGGCTGTTTTCCCCTATTTACCTACATGTCAGAATCTGGCAAGCATGTTATGAGGCTGTGTTAGTTTAAAACATCCCAACATTTCTATTACAAAGTTTTCCAAGATGTCTCTAGTGAAGCTAGGAAGAAATATGTATGTATACGGGTTCAAATACAACGGCAAATCCTGACTGTAAGGCCTCCATGTGCAGCAGGAGTTATATTGGGAGTTGCCATGGCAGCCACCCACTCCTCACACAAGGGGTGGCAGGGAAGGGAGAAGAGCAGTTAGCGGAGAACAGGATCTATTGTTACAAAGACAGTGGGACCCGTCAATGTAATTACAAGCAGGAATCCTGACTTTTAGTCTGAACCGCTGTTTAATGATAGAAGGCTCCCGAGTGCTGGAGTGTTATTAAATTTTTTTTTCTCTAAACATATCTATCATCTGAACCTTTGGTTTTGACTTTTATGAGCACTGGGGAGTATGCAGGAGCAGGAGGGAATTCAGCTAACCAGACACCCACGAAGGCTAACATGATTTAATGACTCCCTCTCTGGAACATTCGGAATCACCGTAGCCAGGAAAATAGATGGTTCTATGAGTCTGGGCAAGTGACTTCACCTGCTGAGTGCCCTCATCTGTAAAATGGGCATAATAATAGTACATCCTTCAAGGAGCTGTTGTAAGGATTCAATAAATTAGTGTCAATAATCAATGATAACAACAATAATAATTTTAATAACACATAAATAAGAATTAGTAATATATTAAATAGATTAGTAAAAGTGAAGCCCTAGTGCCTGATGTATAGTAAATGCTCAAAAACATTTGCTAATCACAATAATTACTATTATTATTAAAATAGCTCCAAGTTTTTATTACAGACTAGAAGAATATGGCTTATAATTCAGAAATTGCTTAAATAAATGCCTTCGAGTAAGCTCCTAAAACAAATCAGATAAGAAGTTGCTGAAACAAATGCCAGCAGACCAGGGCAAGACAAGATGCTAAGATATTTTTACAGTATATAAACAGATAGCACCTTCTCCCATAGCAATGCCTTCGGAAACACCATTTGGGCAGAAAAGATAAAGACCAAGTATTCCACTCTGCTAGCACATTCACCACCACTGGCACACCCTGATCACACAGCAAAACCCATCATCTGCATCAGTGCTAAGATAATCATGTAACAGTATCTGGGGTCAGAGAGTATTCTGGAATTTGTCTCAAGTCATTGGCTTCATCATACGTCTATGCAGATCTGTATACCCAGACACAAATGCAAGCATCAGAGTTAGATGTAATGATCATGAGTGAAACGTATTTTCTGACTCCTGATTCACTCAAGTTTTAGATCTTCATATTAAGGCTGAATGCTCCATCTTCTAGGAGAGGTAGAACATTCAGCCAAGAAATTTAGTAAACAGGAAAGAACATGCATGGATTAGAAGATTTCACGTGAAGGCTAGAAGTACCTTAGAATGTGCAGCCGAAAGCACAAGTGATGCGCTAAAGAATCAGGGGAAAATTAGAGGAGCAGAGTGAGGGCAAGAAAGGCATTGTAACTGGGGAATTATACAGAAATCAGAAGAGAAAATGCATGGGATAGGATTTAATCCTTAACTCTATAAAAATTTTTCTCATTGGAATTTTTAAAAAATTCCAGACAGTGAGTGGTAGAATGAACTTGGCTTAAAAACTTTAAAAATGTTAAAATGCATACCCTTATGACCTCCGAAATCATCCTGCCATTGTGAATGTTACGATGCCATAGCTCCCCCTCTCAAATTGTCCTTTACTTGGTGATTATTATTTCCAGTCTCAAGTAGGGGTGTTGCAGGAGTTATTCTCTCTGCTTTCAGAGATAAACTGACAAGAATACATTAGGAACATTAGAAACATTTCCATAATCAAATAGTTCTTAGAGGGTAAAAATAATTCCGAATTTTTTCATGTAATTAGAAATGATCGAATTTGGGCTCAGACTGGTCCTGAGATCTCTTGTCTTTGAGCTGAAATCAGAAAGAAGTAGGTATTGGCACCACTGGCAAGGAGGACCCCCAAAGAAAAAATTCTCTGAACGCCCTGCTGTAGCTGTGGAAAAGCCTACGAGGCACGTTTCGGAGTCCGACTCCATGGCTTCAAGGCAGATTCTGGTGCAGAGGGGAAGGCCGATGGACACAAACACAGGGACCTAGAGCTGCCCTGCCTTCTCCTCCTGCAGATCAGAAATGCGCTCAGCGTGACCACTTACTTCCACCTACACGTGGCTGTCCGAAGACAGCTGCACTTAGGGCCTGGTTCTCACCACCAAAATGATGGCAAATACCCAAGAATAAAGAATATATATATATATATAATTTATAACAGCATTTTGGTTAGTTCTACCAGAAAATATTAAAACACTGGTTGACATATTACGATAAGTAGTTAACAAATAACGAAAGAACTTTCTAGAAAAAGAGTGCCTCTTCGCCCACCTTCACCAGAGAACATCAGAGCTTGAGTAGGTGTCTAAGAGGCCTGGGTAGTCCTTCTAATTGCACCATTAAACGTTTATGGGGACTGCTATAGGACAAATTCATTTCCATTAAGCTCTACTTAATATAAAGACAAACATATTCTCAAATAGAAATGCTAATGGCTGTATTTTTTAATGCAACCAACTGCCCACACGTAATCTCATGAGAGCCAACTGACTTAATTTTATCCACAGCACAAACAGCTATCATTAAAAATAAATTAAATGGCCTGCAGAAAGCTTTTAATGTGACTTCCACTATGGCAGGGAGGAATAATTTCCACTTCGGGAGAACTCACAGAAAGACAGACTAAGAAAGGTTTCTGGCTCTTGCTTACTGTCAGATACATCGCTGCGTAGACGCTGAGGGCCGCTTCTTTGGACGGAAACGTCTTCCTTGCTCTCATGATGAGATCCGGGTTCCCCGTGCAGGCCTCTTCCCCGCTGATGAACTGCGTATACTGCTGGCATCCGAGGGCTGTGTAGTTGGGTTTGCACAGGGCCAGAAAGTGTGGAGCCAGATTTCCTGTGACTACTTGCCCAGCATTTACAAAGATATCTGTAGCGAACAGTCCAAACGCATAAATTCCTGAGGAAGAAAACAAACCATGTTAACTCTGGGGTTTTGTGTGTGTGTGTGTGTGTATGTCTCAGTTTACAATAAACCAACGTGGCAACAGTTCAGCAACTCTAAAAGAGTTCACCATCCATCCATTTTTACATCATACGGTTCCTTCCATTTCCCTCCCTCCAGTGCCTCCCGGTGCTTTCCGAAGTGGTGGGAGTGTTAAATTATTTAACATACTGAGCTGTCTACCACTGGCTACATCTTTATGCATGCCAGGTTTATAAGACATAAGATAAAAGAAGAAAGTATATTCTAAGGCTGTGTTTGGGTGATGTGATTTTTTTAAGTGGAGACACATTTTGCTTGAGTCAGTTCGGTCTATCACCTTCTACTAATGTTAGCAATCTTAATTTTCTCCCTGTTTTTGAAAATATATTTTTTTAATCTTACTAACATAAAGCAGAGCAGTTGTCTCCCTTTGATTGTGCCTCTTAAGCCCATGCAAACTGATATTAACTCTGCTGGAGGCGCCAATTAGAGGTAAGATCCAGTGCCATCAGCTTTCACTTAAATATCATGGAAAATCATGAGTAACACAGAGTGTTTTCAGATTAATCTCTATGCTGCCTTCAGAAACACATTTTTAAAAGTCCCATAACAGCTGGTAACTAAGACCCACATTATCTTTTTGGGATTGAGTTTTAATTTATCACCATTTGGGACAATTTAGTAAATAATAAAACAATTAGATTATAGTTTTAAAATTATCTTCACAGCATGAAAATTAATTATTTGTTTTGTTTACCTGAAGGCGTAGAATTAAGTACCTAAGTTCCCCCCTCCTTTGTCAGAAACATGCCAATTTACTCAAATACCAAAAATATTTTCTAAATTCAATGTCATTGATCGTTACTGCCAAAACTTATCTTTATTAGATAGGGTAGGCAAAGTAAATACTTTGGCATCATTTTCAGTTAAACTTATAGATACAATCTTCAAGGACATGGTACCAATGTAAAGAAACCCATTTTTAAAAATAGTTTTGGATAATAAAATCCATCAGCATATTTTAAGACTATAACAAAATAACACTTCCAAAATAGTTGGTTCATTAAAAAGTCATAAAATTCCATTATAATAATTCGTTTTTTTTCTTAGTCATATATTTCTGAACTGTTTGTTTCCCAAGCCTTTACATAATTAGTGGCTGCTGTGTAGGAAATCACCAGGATCACAGAAATAATTTTGTAGCATTAGATGCATGACTCTCATTTTCATTTTCAAAGTACTATGTAAGGTTATAAAAGGTTCATGCACACAGAACTGCACATCGTGAAACTCTATGTGCGTACAAATGGCAATGAAAGAAGGACATTAGTGCTCTCTTAAAAAAATTTCAAAGCAATAAAAAGCTTTCTTTACATCTTACCAGCATTCCATGAGCCATGCAAGTAAATGTTATTAAATCAGAAATTCAGCAGAGGCAGAGGAATGGAAGAGAACGAAGCTTAATAAAATGTTACTGTACACAGCCTCTTCCTTCCAAATCTCATGGCCCAGCCTGGGAACCTAAATGGTAAGTCTTTCTCTCTCCTCTCTTGTGACCTCGGCTGAGAGGTATTCATTTTATTTAACCAAACCATTCTTTTGATCTGGTGTAATAAGTTTTCCTGTTTAAAGGAAAGAGGAGTATTTGATAAGGATACAGAAATGTCTCTTGATACTTGTAAAGTTTCTAAATATGCTTTGGAATTAAAATGTCAGCACATCAGGCCCAAGGCCAATATTGTAGTTGACTATGAAGATATTTATTTAAGTGAGATCCCGTGAGTGTATCCCTGCGCTGACCTCCAGAATAAAGTCGCTATAAAGAGTGATGTTCTATTATGCAGTAACGCTTTGCTCACAAGCTTCCCATTTTATCATAACAAACCGGAAACACCCAAGTCATGATAACCAAGGAAAAAGTAAACAAATCAAGCACTCCTAAATGTTTTCTAAAATCACATGAGAAGAAAGAAACACGTAGAAACTTAAAAGCACACTTTCCTTTGTGCCATATACCATACCTCGCTTTACTGAGCTTCGCTGTGTTGGGTTTTGCAGGTAGCGCATTTTTCACAAATTGAAGGCATGTGGCAACCCTGTGTTGAGTAAGTCTATTGGCGCCATTTTCCCAATAACATTTGCTCACTTTGTGTCTCTGTGTCACATTTTAGTAATTCTTACAATATTTCAAAGTTTCTCACTATTACATTTGCTATTGCTGATGTGTGATCAGTGCTCTTTGATGTTACTTTGGTGATGGTTTGAGGGTACCACAAACTGCACCTGCATAAGACAAAGAACTGAATCGATAAATGTGTGTTCTCTGACTGCGCCGCCAACCAGCCGTTCCCCCATGTCTCTCCCTTTCCTCGGGCTTCCCTACGTCCTGAGACACAGCGTTACTGAAATTAAGCAATTAATCCTGTGCAAATCCTCTAACAGCTGCTAAGTGTTCAAGTGAAAAAAATCACACACCTCTCACTTTAAATCAAAAGACAGAAATGATTAAGCTTGGTGGGGAAGGCACATCAAAAGCCAAGATAAGCCCAAAGCTAGGACTCTGGTGCCAAACAGCCAAGTTGTGAATACAAAGGGAAAGTTCTTGAAAGAAATTACAAGTTCTGCTCCAGTGAGGACACAAATGATAAGAGAGCGGAAGAGCCTTATTGCTGATTTGCAGAAAGCGTTAGTGGTCCAGAGAGAAGGTCAAACCCGCCGCAATATTCCCTCCAGCCAAAACCTAAGCCAGCATGAGGCCCTACCTCTCTCCAGCTCTCCAGAAGCTGAGAGAGGTGAGGAAGCTGCTGAAGAAAAGTCTAAAGCCAGCAGAGGCCGGTTCATGAGCTTTCAGGAAAGAAGCCATCTCCAAAACGTGGAAGTGCAGGGTGATGCAGCGAGCGCTGATGTAGATGCTGCAGTAAGTATCCCGGAAGATCCGGCGAAGGTGCCACATACATGACAGATTTTCAGTGGGGACAGAACAGTCTTCTGCTGGAACAGGATGCCGTCTAGGACTTTCCTAGCTGGAGAGAAGGAGTCGATGCCTGCCGTCAAAGCTTCAAGAGACAGGCTGACTCACTTGCTAGGGGCTAATGCAGCTGGCGACTTTAAGTTGGAGCCAATGCTCATTTAGCATTCTGACAATCCCAGGGTGCTCAAGAACGATGCTAAATATACTCTGCCTGTGCTCTATAAATGGAACCACAAAGCCTCCATGACAGCATGTTTATTTACAAAATGGCTTATTAAATATTTTAAGCCCACTGTTGGGACCCACTGCTCAGGAAAAAAAAAAAAGATCCCTTCAAAATACGACTGCTCATTGACGACGCACCTGGTCACCCGAGAGCTCTGGTGGAGACGTACAATGAGCTTAATGTTGTTTTCACGCCTGCTCACGCAACATCCATTCTGCCGCCTGTGATCAAGGACTAATTCTGGCTTTCAAGTAGTATGATTTGAGAATTACACTTCTTAACGTTATAGCTGCCATAGATGCTGATTCCGCTGATGGATCTGGGCAAAGCAAGCTTGAAAATCTTCTAGACAAGATTCACCATTCTAGACGCCATTAAAAACATTTGTGATCCATGGGAAGAGGTCAAAATATTAGCATTAACAGGAGTTGGAAAGAAGATTCCAGCTCTTACAGATGACTCTGAGGGGTTCTAGACTTAGTGGAAGAAGTAACTGCAGATGTGGGGGACTCAGTAGAAGAACTAGGATAAGAGGCAGAGCCTGAAGGTGGGGCTGAAGGGCTGCCATCTCATGGTCAGACCTGAGTGGATAAGGAGCTGCTTTGCGTGGATGAGCAAAGAAAGTGGTTTCTTGAGATGGAATCAACTCCTGGTGAAGATGCTGTGAAGACTGTCCAAAGGACAGCAAAGGATTTAGAAAATCACATAATCTTGATAGAGCAGCAGCAGAGTTTGGGAAGACTGACTCCAACTTTGAAAGAAGTTCCGCTGTGGGTAAAACGCTAGCAAACAGCACTGCACACTACAGAGAAGTCATTCGTGAAAGGAAGAGTCAAACAATGTGGCAAACTTCACTGCTGTCTTATTTTAAGAAATTTCCACAGCCCCTCCCAACTTTCAGCAACCACCACTCTGATCAGTCAGAAGTCTGCAGCACTGAGTCAAAACCCTCCACCAGAAAAACGATTACGACTCACTAAAGGCTCAGGCGATGATTAGCAGTTTTTAGCGATAAAGTATTCTTTAATTAAGGTATGTACACTTTTTAGACATAATGCTATCGCACATTTAATAGATTACAATATAGCATAAACATAACTTCTATATGCCCTGGAAACCAAAAAATTTCATGTGACTTGCTTTACTGTGATATTCATTTAACTGTGGTAGCCTGGAAATGAGCTTGAAGGCTCTCAGAGATATGCTTGGATATTCTTTAGAAGCATGTGTATAAATGCACAAAAATATTTTACTTAAGTAGGCATAATATAATTTAGCAATATTTAGGAAAGTTCTTGCTTTAGTTCTGAGTATAGTGTTTATTTTGTTATTAAATGACTCATGCAAGGATAAATAGATCAAGAGCGCAGTACTGATGTATGCGAAAAAAAAAAGTTTTAAAGTTTCATATAAAAGTTATCCCTTTAACAGTATAAATGAGGGCTGTGGAGATGTGTAAGTTGATGAAAATAAAAAGAACAGTTTTAGATAGGAAGACGTTTTGTCTTTAGAGTGATTTAAAGGTATGATGACATTTGATTAGTCTTTAGTGGGCTGATAGATAGATTAGGTGATCTACGCATAATATGTCCAAAGTCTTCATCTTGATTCTATCAATATGAGAAATATATTGAAGAGTTACAGTAACAGTCTTAATACTGATCAGAACTTGTCTTACATGTTATTTAGTATATACATACTTTTTTTTAATCTGATAAAGCCAGGAAAAAATAACCTATGTTAAATTTTATTGTGTCAGTTCAAAAACCTGTGTTGGCCAAGTGTCTATTGAAATGATTTTCAGTAATCTGCCAATGTTCGTATGTATTAGTGCTAGAATTTGAGACAAAGTATCAGTAAATCTTGTCCTCTAATAAAATCACCAATATATTTTTGTTGGCATAGGAAAAAACAGCTCAAAAATAGTTCGTAGAGTGCTATAGATGAAAATTAACAAATACAGCATTTCTTTAATTTGTCAAATTATTTTTCTTGTACTTCGTGATCAACAACCTACCTTATCATTTCTCCCTGGGCATTGTTTCTGAAATTTAATAAACACAGTAAATCACTTCTTTTAATTATGTAATTTTTAGTTTCTTTAGGAATATTAAATATCCAAATGTGGTGGGGTTTTTTTTTCCTTAAAATAATATGGAACTGACACCATGGAGTCTTGCAAAGCAAGAGAGAAAATAGTATGCAGTATTTATTTTTAAAACCAAATTGAAACATTTCAAAGAAAATATAACCTAATATTTGCATACAGTTAAAATACTGGTCATTTTAAAGATTAGCTTATACATAAACATTGTTTCAGCAATAATAAAAACAATTCAATGAACACATACCAAGAAATCGTACAGTTCTCCTCACCAGTGGGTTTATATAGCAACAATCTCCAGTTAAAATAGTTTTCTCTTGGTTTTCAAAATCCCTTGTGGCCAGTTGTAGGCAAAACACAGCAGTTTCTCCAACTATTATCTTGCAAGGAAATGAAAGATTAAAGAACATTAGAATATAACCAGTATAAAGGAGAATATTTTTATTTTTTTAAAAATGCAAACAAATGGTAATAATCTCAATATAAAACTGAACCAAATATGCTTAACTAAACTCTTTTATAACCTTATCCATATATATGTATAAAAACCATATTTCTCAAAATTCAAGAAAGCATTAAACTAGTAAATTACAGACAAAAATTGACTATAACATTTTTGTTTTCTAAAAGACTCCATTGTAGATGAAGTATATGAAAGATCTTTGCTTTAAGGGAGCACTCAGTTATTTTTTTATGTGTACTTTAATTTCATGTTTCATTTTTAAGTGATTATGTCTGGTTTAAATTTGATTCTGCCATAGAAATCAGAACAATTCTCTATGAAAATATTCTCAAAAGGATCTGATATAGGCATACTAATTTAAAATTATATTAATACATTTATAACAATAATATCAGTATTCTGTTCTGGGACATTGTTAAGAATTATAATTCATATAGTCTTTATACATTCGTATACCCACATCATTTTCATATTCATTAAAAACTATATGAAACACAGAGTAGTATCATACTTCTTTCACAAGGGGAAAAACCCAGACTTGGAACTCAAATGAATTGCCAAAGGCAACAGAGCTAATGAGGAAAAAAAATCAGGTTCTGGTAACAGATTCCTTGCTCAAATATGCTGACTTATGAAAGGACCTGCCCGCCTTCCATGGGTGCTTGTATCATTTCATTAGCTTTCATACACGGTCTTTAAAATCGCCCAGCAGGGTACCAGAACAAGTGATGTATCACAGTACCATTTTACGGATAAGGAAAGGAGAGCTTGGGGAGGTTACAAAATTTGCTCCCCATCAGGCCAGTCAGAAGCCAAGCAGTAATTTCTGACTCAGCTCTAGACCTTTTGACTCTATTTAATACCATGAACAATAGCACTAGAAATAAGATTGTGAGGAAAGAAACCAGATCCGATAGCATGTCTCCTAATTTTGTCACTGTTAAGGTCAGTTTTTAGTTCATCTTGTCAAGGTTAAATAACGGACTACTTAGGGAGTCCCTGGCATTCCCCAGAGGAGTGCTCTTGGGGTCTTCATGAAAAGTACTACCTTTGATTATAAGAAATTCAAAACTATAAGTGGCAGGTAGAGAAAGAGGTCACAGGAGATTGTCTGACCTAACTTTACCCTAATATGTGTAACAGATTATGAGACATCTCTTAATTTTTATCCTTCTTTCTACCTCCTTTTTCTCTTGTCTTACTGTATTTCTTCTTCTAAGTAGGTCAGGGTCCAAGGTTTAACCAGAAGATGTTGAGCTGAAATACGTTAAAGGCATCTAGTCTTGCCTATCTGAATTGAATTAGGCAAGGTCAGAATTTATAGCTTTCCACATCCTCCTGAAAGTTTTAACTTTGGTAAAGTAGAGCAAGTGTGTGATGAAACAGTTCATGCAGCCCAAAAAGGCACAAGAGGTATTTCTTATAGGTTCTTCAGCTGCCACCAGGGCGCTAGGAGAAGCTGACAAGCAGACAGGCTGTGTGTTTGACATCATTTTATCTCCCCGTTCTGAATCACTCTTATCAAGCCCCACTGCCTCGCTGCTGCTCCTTGAAAGAAGTTACTTTCTGAGTTTTCAGTTTCAACTTCTTCCAGGCCTGTTTTGCCCCAGAATGCTCCAAATTCTAACATTCAGTCATCCACGACACATCATGAGCTGGCTGGCTCCCCGCCGATTCCGCTCTCTGATCCTTCGCTTCTCCACAACAGGTATCAGGGGGTCTCCACGCTCAGGCTGGCTCCACCCTATGGTACCTTGAACCCCCAACTCAGCCTGTTAACACACCAAACCCCCTAGACTGGAGTAGGTACCCAAGAATTCTTACTGAACACATGAATGAATTCCGTCCTCAACAGATCAGAAGGTCTTAGTCTGCCTCTGACCTTTTGCCTGACTCTTAGTAACCAACTTTTTCTGCCTTGTTCCTGTGATGAAGGCTCTACCCTACACCCTAATTCCTATAACCAGTCCTTAGTCTCTGACTTGATTACCCATTTAGTTACCAGGTTCCTACCAGACTAACAGCTGCCTTGTCTGGTCTACTCTTTCCAGTCTTCCTGATGCTAACCTCTTTGCCTGCCTGCGTCTCAGCACTTTGCATGTTTATCAGTTTTCTGTTGGTGTCTTGAGCATATCTGTCATTGTCTCAGTCAGTATCATTTGGCTCCTACTAAAATAAACCCATGCAAATTGGCTTAAGAATAAGAGAGAATTTATTCTAGTGTTAGTAGGTTATCTCAGAACCTAGCATGATAGGACACAAGGATTAGATCCAGGAATGGAAATGTCTCAGGAGTTCAAGCAACTACTCTCTGAGTCTCATTCTCTTTCTCTGGAGTCACGCTCTCTCTTATCTCAGCTCCTCTCTGACTGCCTGACTCATTCCTGTCTTTCTGCAAGCCACTTCTCCTGCTTCCTAGTGTACATGACTGCCCCAGCAGCCTGCACGACTCCTGTCTGAACATGTCAGTTCACTTCAAGGAAAACCCAACTAATTAGATTTACTGAGCCCCAATTCAAAATTCCCAGGAGGTTCAGCTTGAGACAGGTGTCTCTTCCAGTCCAATTAACCAAGGTTAAGAAGGTGTGACAGGGTGTGTGAAAATTGCCTCTGCGGGTAGAAAGGTTCGTTCTCAAACAGAGGTGCAGTGATGTCTGCTCCAAACTCCTATCCATTACATCTTGCTGGACCGCCACCCATGCTAGTTCTTGCCCTAGATTAGCTCTTTCCACCACGTTATCTGGATACTGTGTTCTGTCTGCCTACTTGGACTTCATCTCACCAAATGTATGTGCCCAGGCCCTCGTGTCTGCCTTCCTTCAGTGGATGTGTCCACCTCCCATGCTCCAGGTCTCCCTTCCTCACTGTGGCATCTACAGAACTCCACATCCAAATCATATTCTTTCTTAACTTCCCCCATCCCAACTTCCTAAGCCAAAATTCCCACTGTTACAACTCTCAGATAAATTCAAGTAATGAAAATAACACAGTTCTTAACTACAGCGAATATCCAGATGCTTCTGAGTTGAGGAAACAGTGCCAGGTACTGGTCTTTAAAGAAGGGTTTGTAACCTAGTTGGTTGGACACAGAGTGGAATGATTAATAATGGTACAAGGCTGTACATACTGAGTTTTGACTGGTTTGGACAGAAAGTGCCAGTAGAACATTTAGGAAGTGTCACTGAGTCACTGAGGGCATCTGTGATGGCCATGAAATGTGCCACTAGGATCTCCTGCTCTGGGGAGGCTTTTGGTCTGATGGCCCAGCTGTCACTCCTCTGAATCAACTACTGACTCCCTGCTGGGTCACATACTACATGCGTGAGCTAAGAACAGTTTTTACAAATCTAGAAGAAAGAGTAAGTGACAAAACAAAAAAAAAGGTACTTGCCGCAGGTTCCTTCTAGCAATGAGTAGACATGGTGGGGGAATCTGGGTGAGTCCATTCCTCTGAGATACCTCTAACTGGCAGCCTTGGTTTAAATCCCCCCCCATGAATCTGGCCAAATCTTCCTTAGAATTGTGCTGTACTCTGAGGTGCTCCTTACCCAGTCCTTCTTCCTTCCCTCTCTCCTTCACAAAGGTCAGACCTCCATCATAGTCTGAAGGTTTTCTTTGCCTTCTCTGGCTTAACACCCCTCAACTTTGATCTTTCACAGGTGTTTCCCTTGATAAATCCCTTGTATGTCTAATCACAGTTGGGACCTGCTTCTAGGAGAACCCACATTAACATGCCATCAAAGCAAGACAGGGAGTCATCATGACTACTTTTCAAGGAAGGGTAGTTATGAGACAGAGGTAGAGGATTTGGATGCAAACCTTACTGGGAAGGTAGGGTTAAGAAAGGAGAGGAGGTAGCTCTCAACTTGATCTGAGACAAGTTGGCTAAACAGAGGCTAAAGTGGGTTGAGTTTGCCTTGGAGGAAGAGGCTCTGGTCAGTGAATTGAAGATCTCAATTCTATGTGTCCTGATTTTTTTTTTTTCCGTTCTTATCCTCTTGTCCTGTGGAATCCCTTTCTAGAGGACTTCCTCCTTAGACTTTACCAACCCTTGAACTGTGACGAATCCTAAATACTTCTCTATCCCCTGAGCTCCAGGTGCAGGTCTTCAACTACCTGTTAGACAGCAACGTCTCAATATGCTCTGATCTGCATGTTGAAGTTCTCAAACCTTTCCATCCAAAATGAAATTCCTGTCTCTCACCTTAAGCCTTCTGTCCTCCATGTCACCACCGCAGTTCACCCACCACCCTCCAACTCGGACACTCAGGCTACAACTCTGACACTCTTACACACCAGGCTGAAACCTCACTCCCCTCATTTGTCTGTCTAAATCAATTGCTAAACTTTATTGCTTTTATATTTGAATTATATTTCAAATACATCCATTTTTTATCACTATTGACATTTAAAAATTCAGTCCCTTATCACTTCTTTCCTGCATCATAGCATCCTCAGAACTCACTTTTGAACTTCCATTTTCCCTGCTGAAATTTTGTGCAATCCACATTTCCTATTTACAATTTCCAATGTGTCTTCATAGCCAGTGGAGTAAAAGAAATTGTCATAAGAGACTGCTTACAGGTGAGCCTGAACCCATCTTTTTCAGCTTCTACAACTCTTACCAGCCTCCAGACATGCTGTGTTCTAGTCACAGCTAAACACTCTCACTCCCAACATTCCAGGCATTGCCAAACATTCTGGCGTTTATACTTGGCCCATGCTTAAGACAGGCAGGGGACCTAACCTAGACAGGCAGATCCGTGTTTAAGACGTGATTTAGATATTGCCTGCTCTGCTGCAAGTCTATTTCTGGCGCAGCCCATCCCTCCGTCTCTGTGTTCCAGTGGCACTTTGCACGTTTATTACGGTACTTTACGCATGACTGTATAGGGATCAGTAACATCTGTCTCCTCC